ACACACTATATAAACTATATATATATTATATATATATTAATATATAATAATATCTATATATGTGTGTGTGCTGTGTGTGTGCTGTGTGTGTGTGTGTGTGTGTGCTCGTGTGTGTGTGTGTTGGTGTGTGTCTGTGTGTCTGTGTGGATGTATAATATGTTCTGTTGTGTGGTGTGTGTCCGTGCTCGTTAACATATATCGCTGTGTGCACCAGTGTGTCGCTCGCTCGCTCGCTCGGTACTATATACTCCCTCATTTATATCTATTTAAGAACTATAGTATATTATATATACTATATATTATATATAATTGTACATAATATATATAATATATATATATAATAATATATATGTATACTATATATACTAATCATATTATTATATATATCTATATATAGTTATACACTATACATACATAAGTTATATTATGATAGTATATATATATATATAGATAAATTATTATTATATATATATTGTAGTAAATGTGTTGTGTGTGTGTGATGTGTGGTGTGTTGTGTGTGTGTAGTTGTGTGTTGTGTCGTGTGTATCAAATAATATAATATATATTATTATATATATGTGTTAGATGTGTGTGTGTGTGTGGTGGCTGTGGCTGTGTGTGTTGTGTGTGCTAGATGGTGTTGTGTTGTTGTGTAGTTGTGTGTGTGTGTTTGTGTGTTGTGCAGTGTGTTGTGTGTTGTCTCGTGTGTGTGTCGTGTGTGGTGTGTTGTTGTTGTTGTGTTGTGTGTGTGTTGTTAGTGTGCTGTGTATGTGCTGTGTGTGTGTTGTAGTCAGTGTAATTATCATAATGTATACTTATCACTACATAATAATATATAAATATTATATATTGTAGTATTTATATTTTACTATTATTTCTCATAACCATGTTATTACTTACTAATATACATATACATATATATATGTAATACTATACCGATATATAATAGTATTAAAATATATCGCTATATATATACATACTTACTATATAATATATATTATATATATAATAAATATATATATATATATTATTATATATATATTATTACCTATAATATTAACTATACATACTTTCTAATGATTTAATTATATAATTATGGATACATATATTATTCAACATACATGGATATGTTGATATAGTGTGTGGTATTGAATATATGTGTGTGGTTTTGTGTAGTGCATGTGGTTATATATCATTATACTCACTAATAATTATATTATATCTTATATACTATATATCTATACATATATATATTTAATCTATATATATATTATGATTACCACACACATCTATCACCACACACCTATACACATCACACAACACACATATATATATTATATATATAATGATATATATTTCATATATATAATATATATATATTATATCTTATTTATTTATATTCATATTTTCTATATATATATATATTATATTACTATATATATAATATATCTATATAATATTATTATAGTCATATATATTATAAGGTACATATAGCATATATATTACATATATAAATCAACATTACAAGGTATATATACTATATTATTAGTACATATATATTATATATAATTATATATATCACTATTTAGTATATGTATTTTCATACCTCACCTTTTTTATATAAATATTAATATTTCATGATATATATATATATATATATATACATCATTTATTATAACCTATATATTCATAATAATAATTACTATAATATAGACTAATATATTATTAATATATGACTGATATAATTACATATACATTATCATATATATATATAATACTATATATATAATAATATTACATAATCATTATTTCTCTCATCAATGATTTATATAGATGCTAATTACATCACATACATACATAGCATACGATAACACATCCACACATCACTTAAGCAACTCCACACACAAACACCACACACACACACACACACACACACACGCACACACATATATATAGTACCTAATGTTATCATATAAATATAATTATTTGTTTATACTATATTTATATCCTTCTTATATTATATAATAAGTATTCTAATGATATATTTATATACCATATATATAAATATTATTAATATTATTTAAATATATATATATACTATACATACCACAAACACACACACACCACACCACACACACACACCCACACCACACATATATATAATATTATATATTTATATATATAATTTTTATATTAATTATATATATATATATATATATATATATTTTATTGGTGGAATGTGTGTGTGGTAGTGGTGTGTGTGTTGTTAGTGTGTGTGTGTGTTGTGTGTGTGTGTGTGTGTGTGTGATGGTTGTGTGTCTAGTGTGTCTGTGTGATGTATATATGTGTGTGTGTTGTGTGTGTGTGTTTACATATATGTTGGTGCATATGATATTGTGTGTGTGTATATATATATGTTATATATATATTATTCGTACCATTATTGTTTAATATATTACCATATATTTAAATTATGATTACCACCAAATCTTACCCTATA